CAGTTTTTTATGTTTAATTATTACTCCTATCTTTGTTGAGTTCGAACGTTTCGATTTCTATACGTTTATACAAACGTTTCATGTTACTGGGTTAATTGCGTTTTATTTTGTCGTGATAAATCATATAGTACCGTAAGAAGAGGAGCAGATGGAAATTTTCCTTGAGGTTTTCGTACAAGAAATTAAGGCATCTGGGTTTACGTACAGTTGGTAACCGTGCGTTCAGTCTCATTTTTTACTAAAATAGCACCATAAATCACGTAGATCTACCTGAACACAGACATCTTCCGAAACAGCCAGGCTCTTCGAAATCAGTGTTTAGACAACGAATATTTGTTAAACAGTGTGTCGGCAGAATTTACAGTGAGAAAAACCAGACGTGTAGGTAGGTTTAGGTTTCGAAAATAGCTGAAATTAAACTTGTGCAAGTAAGAACACGTGTTGTTTAGAGGAACAAGCAGTCACTGCACGTCACTGCTTCAAATAAACATTTTGAAACCCACGCAAACACAGATACATCACCCTCGATGACAGAGCATCCAGTATAATTACAGTCTTCGTTTACAGAGCATCCAATATAATTACAGTCTTCGTTTACAGAGAATCCAGTACAATTACACTCTTCGTTTACAGAGAATCCAGTACAATTACAATCTTCGTTTACAGAGAATCCAGTACAATTACAATCTTCGTTTACAGAGCATCCAGTACAATTACAGTCTTCGTTTACAGAGCATCCAGTACAATTACACTCTTCGTTTACAGAGCATATAGTACAATTACATTCTTCGTTTACAGAGAATCCAGTACAATTACACTCTTCGTTTACAGAGCATCCAGTACAATTACATCTTCGTTTACAGAGCATCCAGTACAATTACACTCTTCGTTTACAGAGCATCCAGTACAATTACACTTTTCGTTTACAGAGCATCCAGAACAATTACACTCGTTTAGAATCTCTATCTTTCCTTCTTAAGATACAGCGGATCTCACCAGGTAAAACTAAATTAAGGTTCTCTAAAATCAGCTCTTATGAACTTTAAAAGCATTGTTGTCATGGTTTCATTGCTTTCTTCTTGGATGCATATATAATTTTATTCATATTTTTTCACCATATCTAGGTGGCGTCTAAGATTTTCTGATATGCTTTTTAAGAATTTCACGAAACAGGGTGACAAGTCTTAAGAAATATCCTAAAACTGAATAAGACAGTACTAAACATAAAGTTTCATTATGCATAGCGCTATGCATAGCGAATTGACAGACTGGCAGCACTCGTAAAATATATGCTCGCAGCCTATGGCAAATCAAACCGACATCAACCGGAAAATTCATTTATTATATGTACGTGTGTGTGTGTATTTATTTTTTATTCCTGTGTAAAAAAAAAAAAATTATGAAGAGGCTGATAACCTTTATTTTTTGGCAATGTCAGTTTTAAGCAAGCGGCTTACATAAAGCAACTTTCTAATGTCATTATTATTGAAACATGTCAATCCAGTTCACCATCGTTTTACAGAGAGCAATAAAAGGATTTTCACTCTAGTATAATGATTCCCAGGTCTTTAAAACAATAAAATGTGTATTCAACAAAAAGGAATTGAATTTATATCGATTTACTTAACATCTGCGTGCGTGATAATATTCATTTTTTGTTTGTTTGTTTTTGAATTTCGCGCAAAGCTACACGAGGGCTATCTGCTCTAGTCGTCCCTAAGTTAGCAGTGTAAAGCTAGAGGGAAGGCAGCTAGTCATCACCATCCACCGCCAACTTTTGGAGTACTCTTTTATCAACGAATTGTGGGATTGACCGTCACATTATAACGCCCCCACGGCTAAAAGGGCGGGCATGATTGGTGGGACGGAGATTCGAACCCACGACCCTCAGATTGCAAGCGTCAAGCGCCCTACCAACCTGGCCATGCCGGGCCTCTTTGTTGTTAAGCGCACAATGCACAGGCTATCTGTTTTGTGCTAACTGCAGGTATCGAAACCCGATTTTTAGCATTAAAAGCTGAACTATCAAGTATTCACAAATTTTATGGATAAAAAATATAAAATCAGTACTGTTTTAAAACTATAATTATGCGAGCTAGTGATGTTAATGTGCGTTCTGATAATTGTTTTCAACGTATATATATTTACATGACTTGATAGTTTTAAGTTTGAAAAACATTATATACTCCATATATACTTTTGGTGTGGTAAACATATTTTAGTGAATACACTACTGTTGGACTGCTTTGAATTAATCAAAAATCTTATTCTGCTAGATGGTAAACTTCTTTGACTTGTATTTCATATCCGAAGGTCATGGTTATGAAACGCGAACGTCAGCATGTAAAAAAATTGCTGCTTTGCTATTTGGTAATCTGAGAAGTTACGAAGGTCGGGTTTAGGTAGAGCTTGAAGTTGCTTTGGAGATTATAGTATTTAAGTGACATTAAAAAACTGTAGATGCAGAGCGGTTAATATGCTTCCTGATCGTGTTCCATTTACAACTTCTTTAGAAAGTAAACATCTTATTTTACAACTTCTTTAGAAAGTAACATCTTATTTTACAACTTCTTTAGAAAGTAAACATTATATTTTACAACTTCTTTAGAAAGTAAACATCTTATTTTACAACTTCTTTAGAAAGTAACATCTTATTTTACAACTTCTTTAGAAAATAAACATTATATTTTACAACTTCTTTAGAAAGTAAACATCTTATTTTACAACTTCTTTAGAAAGTAACATCTTATTTTACAACTTCTTTAGAAAGTAAACATTATATTTTACAACTTCTTTAGAAAGTAAACATCTTATTTTACAACTTCTTTAGAAAGTAAACATTATATTTTACAACTATGTTAGAAAGTAAACATCTTATTTTTACAACTTCTTTAGAAAGTAAGCATTATTTTTTACAACTTCTTTAGAAAGTAAACATCTTATTTTACAACTTCTTTAGAAAATAAACATCTTATTTTACAACTTCTTTAGAAAGTAAACATCTTATTTTTTACAACTTCTTTAGAAAGTAAACATTATATTTTACAACTTCTTTAGAAAGTAAACATTGTATTTTACAACTTCTTTAAAAAGTAAATATCTTTTCCATATCGTCGAATCAGAACATTAGCAATCGATGTGTTCGAAGGAAAACGAAGTTTGATTATAAACAAGATTACGACACTTATGATATACAACATTGTTTATTGAGAAAAAGGGGACATGGATAAACGTTTCGGAATTCTATCAGATTCCACCTTCAGTATCTAAAGCAGAATAAAATGAATTTACATCAATCTGTATACATTTTCAAAGTACAGTTGCTAAATATAACGATAATTAAACAAATAAAACACTAAACAGTAATCATGGGGAGAAACTACAGTAAGAAAACACAACGAAAAAAAAAGTAAAAACAGTAACACGAACATATTAAAAAATGTATAATTTAAATGAAGACTGCATGTTGTTCAGAGTTGGAGAGTGCTGTTTGATGTGGAGGGTTTCTTTGATCAATAATTCCAGGTCTGTATTAGACTTGCAGAGGATAGAGAAATTTGATAGTATAGGTTTCTGACCTGTTTCTTCACTATGTTGGCGTATAGTGGAAACACAGGGGTTATTCAATTTTTTTTGCGTTTTAATGGAAATTCCCATATGTTCGTAGGCTCTGACTTTTAAATGGCGTTAGGTTTTGCCAATATAGGAGGCCTTACAGTCTCCACACGTGTAAAGATAGACAAGCCAAGAACAATAAGGAATGGGGAGGAGATCTTTAGTAAGGAAGAAATTTTTTATGCGTGATGTGGATTTAAAAACTAATCTCAAATCCACTTGAGGGTAGTAACGACCAAGTATGCGTTTAAGTTGATTAAAATATCTTATTTTACAACTTCTTTAGAAAGTAAACATCTTATTTCAGTTCTTTATTTAGTATCTCAACAAATGGTTATTTAGAAGTTTGTGTTACAAAGTGAAAACTGAGACCGTACTTGGATTCGAACCATCTGCTGTGCTTATCGAGCAGACACTTTAACCAACCAAGCGACTGCATTTCGTTGATTGAGGAATTTGTGTGACAAGAGGTAGGGCAGGAGTGGTTCGAAATCAGTATGATCTCTGTTTTCACTTCTTCAGATAATTTATAACTTTACATCATAGTGTATGACCGTTAACACTGTTTAAGTATAGAAAGACATTTTGTGACATCTTGAAAGGAACTTCTCATATAACATACGGACAACAGTAGTCCTTTCGGTTCTTTAAGGTTGTGCCTCTACACTCAACCCTAAGAATTAAAAAATGTAAAATTTAACCCACCCTTTATCTTTTAAGAAATCATTTCCCCTCTTAAACTTTGTAAGGTGCTGGCCCCCACCACTTCATTTGAGCCTAGCATGTATTTTCTAAATTCTAAACTCTTCTTATCGTCTTGAGGATACATCACAAAAACACCAGAGGCCTTTAATCTATCGATCCCCCAATAGTCTTGTAAACAGCAATAAGATTCAATAAGTTTAAGTTAAGGAATCGTATCTTATCCTCATAAGATAACTGTCTCATTTAGCTAACATTTGTGATAATCCTTTATTCCAATTTAATGCTCGATAACTTTAGTATCCTAAAGCGTTATAAATAAAGATAAGCAGTAAAGATAAGCCTAATGTTATAACTTTAGGCTAAGCTGTACCTGCAATAATGAAACCTAAAAAGTGTTGAATCCGAATTACAGACTGTAATCCGAACAAAATACACTAAATTAAGTAAGTTAAACAATACTCCTATTATTAAATCTCCTGGTAGATCAGCGATAAATTTACGGGTTTACAACACCAAAATTCGACGTTCGAGCAATCGTGATAGACAGAGCGCATATAGCCCACTGAATAGCTATGCGTTAAAGCAGACAAATAAACTTCTTCTCAAGGAAAAGATTATATTCGATTACAACAAGTATTTGTGTGACATGAATTAATGTAAATTGTATTGTTTTCTAATAGCAGCCGGAAGCCTTGTCCCTAAAGCGCCATCTGCTGATAGCTCGAGATCTGGGTCACCTCACGGATCATTTATACCTCAGCCACGAGGTGGCGTCGTAACACGGGATAGAAATAGTACTGACCGAAGTCAGTCCAGGTCAGATTTTGGTTTCTGAGCTTATACGATTTTTGAATTGTTTTAGAATATGCAGTGTTTACTGTTATATGCATTTCAACCTATTTTTAGACAAAAATCAAAACTGTAGTTTTTGTTGCAATGGTCAATAATGATAATAATAAAACAGCCATGAAAATCTACATTTAAATGGAACACTGAAAACATATACTGCAAAGTCACTTACAATATAAACTCTACTTCTAGAGTCATTGAAATGGTTTATATTAACGTTTAAGCAAATTATCTTATCAGTCTCAAAGTTTTAACATGTTCGATCATGACATAATTAACTTCAGGAACATCCAATGTATTTTATGTGGTATACTTATTTAATAATTAATTTTCTATGAACCAATTTGATGTTTGATTTCTGAGTTGATTGACGTAAGTACGAAAACTACCCTTGTCTTCAGTTTCACTGCACATTAATCTTACGCTTATGCATTAATTAGAAACGTAATCACATCAGGGAATTTCATTTCAATATAAAATATCTTATTGAAAACTGCACACGTGTGGAGAATAAGAAACAAGCACAATTCTTATAATATTTTTTTTTCACAGATTACACGTCTTTTTGTTATTTCTAAATCTTGCATGAATAACTTCTCTTAATCACAAAATCAATAGTTACCACTTGTGCACTCGTAAACATCGTTTCCAGATTATAAAGTCATAATGTTAAACTTATTTTTTTATGTTCAATGAATTAATATTTTTTATTTATGTATAAAATATTTCAACTTCGGCCTTTTCTCAATACCTGTCATTAACAGTATGAATATTAAATATAGCATATATCCCAATCTGATTTGAAAACAAATTTTATGCCAGCTTCGTACGTACCTTAGAATGAAAAGTGAATGTTATTAATTAAAAAAAAAACCTTCTAATGTTGTCTATGTACTATTTTTCAGGCCTTCATCAACCTCGTCAACATCATCAATACCACATTTCCCCGTTAAATCCAGTTCGGGTGTTACTCTTCGTAATTCACCAGGTGTCGCAATTTCTCTTGGGAGCAAAAATTCGCCCTACAATAATAACTCTATGTTAGATAAATTTAAAATTTTCAATTCGAAGGAAAAGTCTGGGGATAAAGTTAAAGGTAAGTAATTTTGTTTTTGGTTCATTAATTTGGTTCATTTTGCCTTTTGTTTAATAGTAATCGGTTCACCGATACAACTACAGTTAACATTGAAACTGCCCCCCAGTGGCACAGCGGTATGTCTGCGGACTTACAACGCTAAAATCCGGGTTTCGATACCATGTGTAGCTTTGTGCTTAATTACAAATAAACGAACAAACATTGATACGTAATTATATTTCAAATGATTTAAATTTTAAACTTATGTTTATCATAGATATGTGTTTTCTGCACCGTTAATCAGCCCAAATAAATACAATTTGAAGTTTGGTTTGATTTTGAATTTCACACAAACTACACGAGGGCTATATGCACTAGCTGTCCCTAACTGAGCAATGATAGACTAGAGGGAAGACAGCTACTCAACATCACCCACCGCCAACTTTTGGGCTACTCTTTTACCAACGAATAGTGGGATTCACTGACACATATAACGCCCCCACGGCTGAAAGAGTGAGCATGTTCGGTGACTATTTGAGGGCGCCCGTAGAATATAAATTTCTTTATTACTATTTGGTATATAATAGCGTATAAATAAATAGGTAACCAAATAATATCAGTAAACCCAACGTAAATAAATAATTTTCAATGCACAAAAACATTGAAGAATAACAATTTTACCTTTCATGGAATTATGTGTATGGTTTTGTTTAAGTGTAATTTTTGACACTAAACGTAAATAATGATAATCAAAAGGAATATATCATTAATTCCTATGGTGAGAAAAACATCCGATTAGACCTTTAAAATGTTTTTTACATCTATTGTTATTGGTAAATTGAAAACTATTTTATTGACAAATTCGGTTACATAACGTTTCATCTTGTGACAAATAAAACTATGTGCACCACACAAGTACCAGTATAATAGGAAATTAAGTGATTTTTATATTATTGGGCTAATGCTAATATAATCCGAAATCCGCTAAAAGTTCGCTTAGTAAGCTGTATAATGCTAAGCTACATATTTCGAGAAACCATGCTTATTGACAAATAAATATTAAATTTTCTCAACTGTTTTTTTTATTGTTATTGTGATTATCTGATGATGTTGTGATAGCGCGGTGACAAAATATTAAATTAAACCTTAATTATTAATTTTTTTCTCCAGGTGGCGCATTCTCTAAGAGAACAAGCAGCAGTAGCGGCTTCAGTTCAGCGAGAAGTGAACGGAGTGATTCTTCCAATAGTATATGTAGCGAACCTAAATCTGGCTCAACTCCTGAAGGACCGGAGACATCCACAAGCCCCACTTCTCCGGGGATTAATAGCCCCAAAATTGTTGTAAAGAACTTTGCCAAGAAAACATTTGGGAGAAATTCGACTAGCAGTAGCAAAAGTAACAGTATAAAAACAACAAATTCTAGTAAGCTCCATGCTAGCTGTCTAAAATCATAGTCGGTAGACATATTTTAGTTTTGCTTCAAAGGTATTTTAGGCAATGTAGATACAGAAGAGTTTTGGCTTTAATAGATTGCTTGTACCTGTTTCTAGAGCGGGACAATGTTTGTGCTTCTATACTGAAGAAGTCACTGAAAAGTTGTCCCTCTCTAGAAACAGGCAGAAACAACAAAAAAAACTCTACTATCTTTTACTCTACTTGTAAATCGGCCCGGAAAAGGTCCCTCTCTAGAAACAGGCAGAAACAACAACAACAAAAAAAAACTCTACTATCTTTTACTCTTACTTGTAAATCGGCCCGGAAAAGTTGTCCCTCTCTAGAAACAGGCAGAAACAAAAACTCTACTATCTTTTACTCTTACTTGTAAATCGGCCCGGAAAAGTTGTCCCTCTCTAGAAACAGGCAGAAACAACAAAAACAAACAAAAAACTCTACTATCTTTTACTCTTACTTGTAAATTGGCCCGGCATGGCCAGGTGGTTAGGGTGCTCGACTCGCAATCTGAGGGTCGCGGGTTCGAATCCCCGTCACACCAAACATGCTCGCCCTTTCAGCCGTGGGGGCGTTATAAAGTGACGGTCAATCCCACTATTCGTTGGTAAAATAGTAGCCCAATAGTTGGCGGTGGGTGATGATGACTAGCTTCCTTCCCTCTAGTCTTACACTGGTAAATTAGAGACGGCTAGCGCAGATAGCCCTCGTGTAGCTTTGTGCGAAATTCAAAACAACCAAACAAGGATACTTGTAAATCAATGAACCAACAATTCAGTTGCAAGTCCTAGAAGTGTATAATGCTGAGTGCTTAAGTAAAAAATGACCCCTCTTCAAATAATTAACTATTCCGACATTACTATCATTTTTAATGTTTATTGTTTATTATTGAAATAGATTATGCATGCGATGTTGCCATATTTCAATCAATTTGCTAAATGCTCAGAAACAGTTTTTACCATTGCATTGGTTCGGAAATCATTCAACTAGTTGTTTAATATTTGTTTGTTTTCTTCTTTGTTTTAGGTTATATAACTTTTATAAAATAAAACCATTATTTTGAGGCAAGAATTAACTAACCCTATGAAATTTTACTTCTGATTCAATTCTCTTTCAACGCTTGTTACTTCCTAAAGGCCCCCAGTGGCACAGCGGCATGTCTGAGGACTTACAACGCTAGAAACTTGGTTTTGGTATCTGTGGTGGGCAGAGCATAGATAGCCCATTGTGTAACTCTGTGCTTAACTTCAAACAGACAAACAAATTTCATGAAGTATGCTCTTGTTGCTGAAATTAAAACTATTTTTTTTCAGAAAGAAACCACAGAGAGAAACTTGCAGCTCAGGTTTGAGGACCAAAAATATAGATTATTCAGTGAAAATTTTATAACGTTTAATCACTTCATTGATGCTACAATCCGGAAACAACTCAAAAATCAAAATTAGATTCGGCTTTGCGAACAATATGAACGATGTACACAAAAATCAGGAAAAGTCAACGTCAGACAAATAAGTACTATTTTTATATTTCCATGTAGTTACTAGCTTTAATGAAGCCCTAAATCAAGCCTTCTCATAGGCTTAGTTGTGAATGCGTTGTGTCACTTAAGTTTCTTTAAGTTGCCATACTTAAGCACATTTAAGCCGACATACAAGTTCCACTTACAGCTAACGTGCACTAATACTTGACTGAATTAAAGGCACCCCATGAATTAGTGTACTAAATAAAGAATAATTGAACAAAATACTATAAATAAGGTTAAAGTACTGTGCCCACGACCGCCGACAGCTAAGTATAAAGGTGTGAAAAATTCTTCCTAACTTTTAGCTGTTTTTATAGACCCGGATTCATTCACCACCCCCTGAACTATCCCAAAGCATAGCTAATCATTATAGTTTCTCACGATATTCCAAAGCATAGCTAATCATTATAGTTTCTCACGATATTCCAAGGCATGCACTATCTACAGTTAAAATCTGATATCAGAATAGAAATCCAATAACCCGAGCACTTTCGGAAAGTAGACATTCCTTCATCAGAGGTAAATGGCAAATGACCATTATAAGTACGTTGATCAGTTTATGTGGTTACTGAAGCGGACGTGAGACGTCACGCCTTTCTAAGATTATGCTTTAAGTTGTGAATTAACATTGTGTGTATGATGTGTAAGCGATTGGAAACAAAGAAAAAATGACTTGAAATAAGAACGGCTTGTAAGAAGTAATACCCATAACAACTGGGATATTTATCAACAAAGGCAAAAAGGTTTGTTTGTAATTAAGCCCAAAGCTACACAATGGGCTATCTGTGCTCTGCTCACCACAGGTATCAAAACCCGGTTCCTAGCGTTGTAAGTCCGCAGACATACAATTGTGCCGCTAGGGGCAGCAAAAAGGAACTGGAAGAGTGAGATATTGATTTTAAAAAAAGTTGAGGCAGTAAATCCAATTTTTATGAAGTTTAGGTGTGAGGAACATCGGTTAGGGTTGAGAGGGGTGAGAAAGCGGGCAGCTTCTGGTCAGTTCCGAGGGAATTATTGGATCACAGCACTCTACGTCGTTGGGAAATTATTAGAGGAAGCGGCCATCATTCTTGTTCAGCAGTAGGGAGACAAAAGAATCCCCCATGATTATGAAACGTTATAATCAAAACAAGGTCAGAAAGAAAGAGACTTGTTCAGAGTGGGTTTGAGAAAGATATATATATATATATATAGACAACAGGAGATGTAAGATAGAACAAATATACAGAGAGAGAGAGTTGAAGGAAGAAGTAATATGCAGCCAGTAAGAAATAAACCTAAATCTATGAGTTGTTGTTTATGGTAATAAACAGCAATTTGTTATGTTTATTTGTAGGAGTCAGTTTCTGATAGGAATAAATACATTCTAAATAACATTGATGGACATAACCAGAGACAGCGAAGTGTAAGAACAGCATTATTGTAACAACCTGGTGTCAAGCCAGTCTACAACACCAATAGTAATATATATAAACGAGAACATAAAAATCATAGATGCTAAATTAAAATTATAATAAAAGATAAAAAAGAGAGTTTTAATTAAATAATAATAATACTTGAAACGCTATTAATGCAATAACAAATAAATTCGTTTCAAAACAACATTTACAAAAATGTTTGAAAAATACTTTGAGTTAAAGGACAAAGATCATTAATAAGTGGGGTCAAGTTTCATATAACGTGGGATGACAGTGTTTAAAATACTGACCCCGTCTGCCTTTTATATTTCTCTGTCCGGCTATGATTTAAACCCGGTTTCAACAGTATTGAGAACAATGCCATTGATGCAGTGATCTCACTTACGGTACAACGACCACATAACTGCTCAACATGCTTTTAATAGTCATTCCCATTTATACCTAAGGAAAACGCTTAGGTTATTGGACCTCTATTATGATACTAATCAAAATAGCAGACAGGTTTATCCTTGGTCACGTTTAAATGTATATTTTGCTGACCAAGAAAAGGGTCAGGTCACGTTTCCTACAAAATATCTACCCCATATTTCCTTTAACAGTAGAAGCAAACTACATTAAAATCAAAACAACACCTATAGACTAGCGTGGCGATGCTAATAACAAAGTCATATTATTGTATTAATACAAGGTAAATTATAGCACAATTTTATCTAATTAAAACCCCAAATCGATACACATACATCCATTGTTTTATTGAGTTTTGTTAATAAACTAGAAAGGCTCTCAGAGAACGCAACCCCCGCCCTACAGTGTGATTGACTTTTGCAGTAACCAAGCTAAAATGTACACCAAATAATTCTTCACCACACAAATCATTCTAAGTGCCAAGATCGTCTTTATATCTCATGTTCTGAATGTTGACCGATTTTCAAAATTCCATATAAATTTAAATGTTGGAGGTATCCCACACTTTACAAAATTTAACATTCAAAAAGAGCTAAAATGGGATATAAGAAATCGTTATATATATATATATAACAACGTTTCGCCATTGTTAACGTGGCATCATCATCATCGAATTGTACTTTTTCCAAACATATGCTCAAACCCGTAGTTTTTAACTTACCAAACTTCACATTAAAAGTTTAGAACTAATCATAACAATGAAGGAAAAAATAATTACAATTTTAAAACATAAAGAAATCAAACTTGTGGTTTAATATAAAACTCGTTTTTGATTTTTTTTTACTAGTTATTGAAGAAGAAAGGTTTGAGCAAAAGATTTTTGAAAAGAAAGATTGTCATGCCTCCATCGAGATCGGTTTTACAAAAAATGTTCCCAGTCTTATTTTTCATGCAAGTTGATAATATTGCGTAGATTGTTTGTATTTAAGAGCTTTAAATAAGTATAATAGAATAATTTTACGTCTGTGCACGATTACACAATCAAGTATGTGAGAATTTTCTCTCAAGTCATAATTTATTTGTTTTGCGAAAACTTAAAATATTTTGTTGATTATCAAACTTCTTAAATATCTATATTTCAAATGGATGGATTCTCCCAGTCTCATCAAAATTGTGAATTAATGTAAAATTAGTTTTTTGTGAAACCCTTAATTTAATACAATTGTTTGTTTGGAATTAAGCACAAAGTTACACAATGGGCTATTTGCGCGCTGCTCACCACGGGTATCGAAACCCGGTTTCTAGCGTTGTAAGTCCGCAGGCATACCGCTGTGCCACTGGGGGACAATTTAATACGAACTTATTATTTGTCTTACCAACCTTACGACTTGCATTTCATCTAATCCACCAGAGGTTTGGTTGAAAATCATATACTATTTTTCAAATTTTCAAAAGTCATTTTATTTGAGCTTCTTTTAAAAATTAATTAAATATGATGTTTCGTTACTCTCCTAGTTGTTTAAAAATGATTAAATATGTTTCGTTACTATCCTAATTGTTTAAAAACTAATTAGATATGATGTTTTGTTACTCTCCTAGTTGTTTAAATATTAATCAAATATGATGTTTCGTTACTCTCCTAGTTGTTTAAAAATGATTAAATATGTTTCGTTACTATCCTAATTGTTTATAAACTAATTTAATATGATGTTTCGTTCCTCTCCTAGTTGTTTAAAGATTAATTAAATATGTTTTGTTACTATTCTAATTGTTTAAAAATTAATCAAATATGTTTTGTTACTATTCTAATTGTTTAAAAACTAATTAAATATGATGTTTCGTTATTCACCTAGTTGTTTAAAACTAATTACATGTGATGTTTCGTTGCTCTCCTGAATTATAAATACTTATATTCTTTATCAAACCCACAAGAACATTTTCATTCCAAATAAAATTTGTGTCATTAAATGCATCAGTAAACTATATATATATATATTATTATTACCTTTTTTTATAACTTACATGTGTTTTATCTTTGTGCTTTCTCAGGTAAAGATATTGAGTCCACTAAACCTAATTCCGTGAAACCAACATATTCGAAACTGCCCAGTTGTGCAGCTGTACTAAAAGAAAATTCTGAAAATAAAGAGAGCAGTTTTCAGAATGAAAAATATGAAAGAACCACGCACAAAGAAAAGTCGGATAGTAAAGACAGCTGTGCACAAAAGGTCAAATCTGATCTAAGTAAGCAGAAAGACAGAACGCAATACAAAGAAAACAATTTATCTTTAGATCGTAAACCTTGTTCACAGAAAGGGAAAACAGAACGCACTGGACTCGGTGCAGCTAAAGTCAGACCCGACAGAGCTGAGCCTGGTTTGGAAAAGAACCGGTCTGAACAAATACCAAGAGATAAACTTGAAGATAGTGAAGGTGGCGCAGAAAAAGGCAGCGCACAGTCTACTAATTGTCATTATCACAAGGGCAATCCTCAACATCGAGATCTCAACTTATTGAAAGACAGTCCGGAATGTAATGAAAAAAACAGTGGAGTTGTCGGTTTTGAAGCTTCAACTACTAACACCTCAGCCATAAAGTCCAGTAGTAAGACAGTAACTACAGCCACAACTAAGCCTCAACAAAGTAAATATTTTGAAGAAAACCAAATTGCTGAAGGTAAAGAAATTCCAAATCGCCAGTCAAAGATATCTAGCCTTGTTCCTAAGACTGAAAGAGCCTTAAAGACACTCAGTTCAGAAATTCCTTGTAACATTGCGAAGGAAAAGAGTTATAATATCGTGGGAACTTCTTATTCAGATTCTAGTGACTCCATGTTGGGCCAGATGGACAACAGTAGCAATCTTAAGCCCACAGCGGCTGTAAAGGGAACATCCAAACCTCGTAAGGAGGACTTTCAAAAGTATAAAAATACCGATACTTCATTAAACTGCAAAGAAGGGTGCAAGAAAAGCATGGAACGTCAAGATTCCCTAGATATGCGAGCCTCATCTGATACTACTTTAACATCTTTCTGTGACAAACAGAGGGACGAGCAGGTTACGAATCTGCAAAAAAAGGAGGTGGACGTAGGTACTTGCCAGGAAGCTGAATCTAGGTCCAGTACGAAGTTAGATCGTTCTGGATCTGACCGTTGTCTAGATGGATCACAAAATGGTGTGTCTGTCGCCAAAGTTTCCCCAATTATGAGTAATGACGTTACAGTTTGCAGTAAAAGTAAGTCCACAGAACGTGGTACAGGTTCTTGTGAGAGTGAAAACAAGAAGAATATAAATTCCTTTGAGACAGGAAGGAATACGGAAAGTCAGGAATACCAAGACTGTTCACCTCAAAGTCCTCGATCTCAAGAAACAACTCAAGCCAAGACAACATCAGATGTCCTTGATGCCGAAGGTGTAAGAGATTTGACTCACAAGAAAGGAAATCAACCAGGCGTCAAGAAAAATAAGAAGCATGATCCACGTGCTACAGCCCCATTTTCTAAAGATATGACGATAATAGAAGAATCCGATGATATCATGGTTAATATAAAGCCCATGCAACCCCTCACACGCGTCTCACCTTACGGCTACATTCGTGGTCTGGGTCCTTTGTCTTCCAGCCGTAATATGACGAACAGGTTACATATGCCCAACTTTAGATTGCCCTCAGATACCGGAAGTATTTCCGGTGGTAAGATCGGACTTTCACGTCACATTCTAACCACAGATGATTCATCAAAGATATATGGTGTCCCTGTAAAAAGGTCATTGGGTAGTAGTCATGCTTTTATGGACATGGACTATGTTTCGGACATGGACTGTATGGACATTGCTGCAGGTTACATGAGCGATGGAGATGTGCTTCGCCCCAATCCTGTTTACAGAGCGGAGGATATCTGCAGTGGCTACATGAGTGAAGGTGGCGGTTTTCTCTATTCACGGCGGGTATCATCAAAAGCGAGTGGAAAAGATATGTCTTCTAAACCAATTAACGTCCTCCAGGATGATAGGTAAGGGTAACTCTTTATTTTTATTTGTGTTAGCTACCAGCAATTACTGGTAGACGTCTGAAGTTTTGAAGAACACAGCAGAACTTGTCATCTTTCACCTTTTCCAAATACGTTAGAACTATTCCATCTTTTCACGAATAATTAACATCTTAGACTAGTCATTTATATCATTAATTATACTTTTGATGTGACGTATTGTTTTTTCTTGACTGAACATTAGTTTATGATAGATTTATAAAAAAAAAAACATTACTTTTTTTTCTTTTTTTTGGTTGAGCGCGTCATTTCGTAGAAAATATTAATCTGAAGCACTCGAATGTTTGAAATAAGGTAGCAGAACTTTACGGAAAGGGTTTAAGTAAAGAAGGTTGAGGTGACGACAGCCTAACTAGTAGGTGTTGTTGAAAACACATAGGTTTATTTCGAAGGTAGCAGAACTTTACGGAAAGGGTTTAAGTAAAGAAGGTTGAGGTGACGACAGCCTAACTAGTAGGTGTTGTTGAAAACACATAGGTTTATTTCGAAGGTAGCAGAACTTTACGGAAAGGGTTTAAGTAAAGAAAGTTGAGGTGACGACAGCCTAACTAGTAGGTGTTGTTGAAAACACATAGGTTTATTTCGAAGGTAGCAGAACTTTACGGAAAGGGTTTAAGTAAAGAAAGTTGAGGTGACGACAGCCTAACTAGTAGGTGTTGTTGAAAACACATAGGTTTATTTCGAAGGTAGCAGAACTTTACGGAAAGGGTTTAAGTAAAGAAA